CTGCCCTCTCACAGATACGTAGTTGAAACAAAGCCTCCGAGCCTTGCTTGACCCCATACGTCCTCGGGATACGTTTCCCCTATAAGTGAATTACTAATTAACTTAGTTTAATAACACATAAACGGAAACTTAAATAAAACCTCCATAGATTGCTCAAACATAGGGTTTGAATATACGAAATCGATCTACTCGACGTCACGGACCTACACAAATTTTTAGAATAATTTTTGGACACTGCACGTGCTGGCCAAGGCACGGCCAATTGCGTCGACCACGCGTAGGCAGAGCTGACGGAGGCCTAACGGCCATTAGGAATATTTCGTTAAAAGGTAATAGAAGTTAACGGCGTTACCTGACGTCATTAGAATATTCCGTCAAAATTGATGGAATATTCCGTTGTCTTCTCCAACGGTCTTTGGCCGATCGCCGCCGTCTTAACTTGTCGGAATCTGGAAATTTTCACCTGTTTATGGGTAAAATTTCAAACATTCATATCTTCTTAATTTCTCAACCATTTTTCACAAAATTTATATGGAAATGAAGCTTATGAAGAGTAGAATCACGTTATACCTTTTTTAGTCCAAAAAGTGGATGGAGGTGGCCTGAAAAAGCCTCGAAAGGTGCGGCTAAAACTAGGACTTCTCAAAACCTTGTATTTCGAGGTTGATTAATCACCAAACCTTCACTAAATACCTCGAGGAGTTGTAAGAAAGCTTCCCTGACCTTCAAAACTCCTCGACTCGGCTTGAAAATGTCGATCCAGAACTTACCGAGTCGGAGCCTCTGAGTTGATAAGTCAAAGCTCAACCAAATCAAGATCTGGTTACACTGGTTGTGATCATGGGGTTGAAAGGAGTTCAAAAGTGTAGGTTACAAGTCACGTTTGTAGGGTTTGGACGTCGTTAGAGAGAGTTGTAGAGAGAAGGTAAGAGAGACCTTCGGGGAAAGAGAGAGAGAGAGAAAAATAGTGCTCTCTGATTGGGTGATGGGTTTGATGGTGATGATCTGATTGTTTGCTTTCAAAGAGGGAAAGCAATTGGTTGGTGAAGGAGAAAAGTAGGGAAAAAGAATGGTGGTGAGGGATTGGTGGAAAATCAAATTGAATAATTTGATTGGTTGATTATGAGGGGATCATATTGACTTTTAGGGATTGGATGGATTTTGAATTTCAGATTTTGTACAATTTTAAATGTACAAAATCAGCCTCTTTGACAGTGTTTTTGACACTGTAAATTTGTACACGCGTGTACAAAATTACCCGTGATTAACGTACTTTAACAGAGCGTAACTTTTTCATTACAGATCCGATTCAAGTCTAACACGCGCTCACGCACTAGTAGCGACGAGTACTAATTTAGCACAAAACCAGGAAAATGAACAGAAAATCGAAAGCCACATCCATGCCAGATTCTACTTTTTTGTCCAAAAAGGGTAAAATCTTCAACTCACACCAACGGAAAAAAAATCACAGTGAAAAATAGGGACATGTCATCACAGGAGGCCGTAAACCCTATTTTTAAAAAGGTTTTTATTTTTATTTTTTAAAGTAATTAAAAATGAGGGCAAATTTGTCTTTAAGAAAATATTTTAAGGTGAAGTCAGCCTAAACGGGTTTTGTGTAGGGATGGCAATTTAACCTATCAAAATCGATCACTACAAGTAACTGATCTGAATGGTTCGGTTTCGGGCATAAAATTTTAGGTATTTTACGGTTACATGCAACTGTCAGGTAAATTTTTTTGGTTTCAGGTTCGGTTATGGTTTTTGGGGTATCCGCCTAAACCCATACCCAAAACCGAACTATTTCATCTATGAATAAAAAAATATATAAATATTTATTATATGGAAAGGGGTTGTTAATAATCATGCCTTAATAAATATGAAATTAATTATTTACTTTTATATCGTTAATAATAGGAATTATATGCTTATAATTTTCAAGAGTGTAGATGTTTTCTTAGTAATATAAATTTTTAATATTACTTATTAGATGCAATGTATCAATTGTATTAATAATAACAATTTATTTAATATCGTTTTTCTATAATATTCTTTATTTAGTTAATAATATAAATAAATATAAATATCATAATGGGGAAAACCGTTCCCCGATCAAAAATCCATCACCAGACGGGTTCGGTTATGGGGAAAATAAATGGGTTCGGGTAATGGGGACGGCACATCCGAACCTAATTTGTCCCATTGCCATCCCTAGTTATGTGAAAGTGAATTAGAACCTTAGAGGGTGTTAGTGTTATTTTTCAAACATGAGGAGGTTTTGTGAAAACATGATAAATCTGAGGGGTGTTAGTGTAATTAATCCTTAAAAGAAATTGAAAGTTATGAGATTTTTCTTTGTTAAAGAAAATAAAAAAATCATAGTTTTGTCAATCCTCATGGGAATCATGCTTGAGAAACTAGGAAAGTGCTAAGACCATTTCCAATTGAAAGAGTTAAACATAGCCCAGTCCAAAATTATAGCCTTACAAAAATTAAATTTTAAATAATCAGTGTCAGGCCATACTTATATACCATCTCCAACCGAAGGGGCTAAGCATAGCCTCCTCAATAATTTATTAGTTTTTTTAAGTTTATATTTTAAATTTATTAGTTACTTTAATTTAATTAACTCTAGATGTTTTCAGATATAGCCATTGAATTTGAATCAATAATTGCAAGTAATGAGCTATGCCCAAGAAAAGGGCTAAGAGGAGGGTTAAATTTGTACAGCCTGATGCCTCTTTGGCCAAATAATGGTCTGGTGGGTGCCATAAAATTATAGCCTAGTTATAGGTTGAAGATGAGTTTTTTAGAAAATCAAGCTATTTTTTAATTTTTAAACCTTTAACTCTCTTATTTGAAGATGACCTAATGGGATGCACCGCCCCTCTCAATATAACGTGGGACACTTTGGAGTCTTGGAGACTGGATTTTTAAAATTACAGGTGGCTAATAAGTAACTTTTAGAAGGTCAAAGTTTACAAACAAATTACTGCAAAAATTACACAAACTGAATTTAAACAAGACCAACAAATCCTTCAACGCTTGTAATTCAAGTAGTTAAAACTTAACATATTTATTTTGCATCCAAGATTTTATGTTCGAATCTCTGTTTTATCCACTCCCACTTTGTGTAAATACAATGAAAACTTAAAGGTTCTTCCACAGGGCATAATCAATGGACAACCCCAAGTGAATATTTTTGTACTGCCCTTGTTGGTCTCGAGGGACAGAAGAGGTTAGGTTAGCTAACAGATAATTATCAATTTAAGGACGAAAAAAAACATCAAATCTCATAGACGATATTTGGTGGGCTAGATGTGATAGGTTGTGATCAATTAAAATAGACTTGGATACAGTTCGTTATTTGTTGTGTTAAATGTGAGATAGACATGATTGAATATGATGGATTATGAGTCTATAATAGAGTGTGTTATGAAACATATACTCATACATAAATTACAAATCTTTATCAATCTAATCATATCTTTAAGACCCAATCTTATTAATCTATCGAACGAACCTGTACTTTATTGGAGGTGGATTGTCTGCCCTCCCATTTTCATACTCTCCCCATACCTTCCTGTTTGTGTAGTCATGGTTAAACCACGTCAACATTTTATATTCTTATTACTTTTTGTTTTATTATTTTTATAAAAAAATTAATATATAATATTAACGTGATTTAACCGTGATCACATATCACAGAAAAACATAAAGAGAGTATAAAAATAGAAGAGCATACAATCCACCTCCTACTTTATTATAGTTGGAGAACTTGCATGTCTGAGTCAGTTTAGTTGGTTGTCCCCTTAACTCTTCAAATCTTTGGCTCTTTGATAATTTCTGCTAGTAAAATAAAAATATTTTGATTTGATATGATTTGATTTGCCAACAAGCTTTAGAGTCAAAACTGAAACAAGTTAAAAGCCAAAAAGCTGCCGGGAAACGAGTAAAACCAAACAACTTGGGGGCAGATTGTCTGCTTGGATGCCATTTTCGTACACTCATATTTTATGCGATCACAGTTATCTTATGTTAACATTTTATATTAATTTTTTTATAGAAATAATAAGATAAAAAGTAATAGGAATAGAAAATATTGACGTGGCTTAATCGTGATCGCACAAATAAGATGGAAATGACACCCAAACAGGAAGCAAACAATCTGCCTCCAAACAACTTAATGCGTGTGAATTCTCCGAGCCCGTTCGTCAGCAGCAGACGCCAAACGGACCAATTTTGTAAGTTCTGGCCATTTAAATTTTGTACAAATTCAAAAAATTAATTTATTTATTTTCCCTTTCTTTTGGGTGTCCAAAATTCAAAGAATCTGTTATAATTAGATAAATGATAAATACGATTCCAATTCCACGTTGTTTGGTACGTGGAAACGCACAGGAAATTCAACCTGTAAAAGAGGCGTGACTAATATGATGTCAATTTTGTAATTAATAGGGTGTCGTACCAATGTGTATCTTTTCTTCCGCTTTTTGAATTCTTCTTTTCTAAATTAGAGTAATTTGAAATATTGTGTCTTAAAAAAATTGGATGTTAATTGTGTAGATGCTTTAGACCAAAACAATTAACATTGTGTAGATACGGGCTATAAGAAGAATTTATATGTAACTGTGATGACAAGGTGATGTATTTCAAATCAATTACGTATGTCATGTGAGCAAATTCAAACACGCAACAACACATTGATAGAATTGCATGTGAATTTCTCCTATGGAGTCGATCTTGGTTGCATGTAAAATTTTCTTCGTGGTGTCGGATAGTAACTAGTTGATCAAAATATTGTGTCCACACTCTTTAAACTGAATTTGAATTCCACTCGTTATATCTAGAGTAGTTTAAAATACCGCTTTAGAAAGAATAATAAAAAAAAAAAAACATTCGAATTGGCATGCAGCCTAGGAATTCCACCCAACCCAAAATCCTATCTCCTTGACACGTTGTCCTCGTATCGTCTATTGGTTGGTTGGTTCTCTATGCTGCTCTCACCACTTCACCTCCCTCCTCACTCTCATTCACATACTTTTCTCTCTCTAAACTGCAACTCTTTTCATTTTCTATCTCTAGAATTCCAAAATAGGGATGTGAGCTTGCATGTTGCAATGTGTCACTGACCTGATTTGGACCCCTCGTGACTCACCACGTTCCCCATATAACACTGTAAATCCATCCCCACATTACTGCAATTTCAGAGCAAAAAGCAACAATCTTTGAGCAAATTCGATAGAATTTCAAAGAATTTCAAGAAAAAAAAAAATGAGCTGCATGAATCTGAGTTCATGGGTCCAATTCCAGACCTGCTCAATGTTGAATCAAGCAGGCAGATCCAGATCCTCCCAATCCTTCCACCTCCTCCACCCCCTCAAAACCACCATACCCATATCCTCCCCCGCCCCACACCACCGTCGACGCACCTCCCCTTTCGCCGTCTCCGCCGTCCTCACCAAGCAAGAGACCCTCACAGAGGAATTCGACGAAGAGTCCCCGAAACCCACCTTCAATTTTAAGTCCTACATGCTCCAGAGGGCGGAATCCGTCAACCAGGCCTTGGACGCCGCCGTCTCCCTCCGTGACCCGATTACGATCCACGAGGCGATGCGGTATTCGCTTCTGGCCGGCGGCAAGCGGGTCCGACCAGTCCTCTGCCTCGCCGCGTGCGAGCTCGTTGGTGGGTCGGAATCCATGGCCATGCCGGCGGCCTGCGCCGTTGAGATGATCCATACCATGTCGCTGATCCACGACGACTTGCCATGTATGGACAACGACGACCTCCGCCGCGGAAAACCCACCAACCATAAGGTGTTCGGCGAGGACGTCGCGGTCTTGGCCGGCGACTCTCTCTTGGCCTTCGCATTCGAGCACATCTCCCTGTCTACTGTCGGCGTGTCGCCGGCCCGAATCATCAGGGCAGTCGGGGAATTGGCCAAGTCAATTGGGTCCGAAGGGCTCGTGGCCGGGCAAGTGGTGGATATAAACTCAGAGGGGTTGTCCGATGTGGGACTCGAACAGCTCGAATACATCCACCTGCACAAGACGGCGGCGCTGCTGGAGTGCTCGGTGGTTCTGGGGTCGATTCTGGGAGGTGGGTCGGATTCCGAAATCGAAAAGCTGAGGACTTTCGCTCGGTACATTGGATTGTTGTTTCAGGTCGTCGATGACATCCTCGACGTGACCAAATCTTCCAAGGAATTGGGGAAAACGGCAGGGAAGGACTTGGTGGCTGATAAGGTGACTTATCCGAAGCTGTTGGGGATCGAGAAGTCGAGAGAGTTTGCAGAGAAACTGAACAAAGACGCCAAGGAACAGCTCGCCGGTTTCGATCCCGAAAAGGCGGCCCCCTTGATTGCTCTGGCGAACTACATTGCTTACAGGCAAAACTAAAGACACCCCTTTGTTGTACTGTTAAATTTAATGTTTGTTCGTGGGAATTTAGAATGTCTGATCCGCATGTTTGTGTTGCAGAACTGGGTAAGAGTAGACACAGAGTTGGGTCAAATATACACATTTTTTCTTCTCCTTGTTCAGTCCGTGTCTTTACATTTGATTTAAGTGAAATTAATTTGTTTAGCTTTTGGCATGCCTTTAATTTCCTTTTTACAAATCGATAAGATAGTCTACACAATTTATCTAACTTCGGAGAGGGGATGGTTTGAACCGGGACGCAGACCTAGTGGACATCACTTTGTCTTCGTCTCCCGACTTGCGACCACCATCGTCTCCTCCCAAACCTTCCAATAGCGACCACCCCATCACTGCCGTAGAGATTGTCGAACACCACCATCGTCTAAGGCCAACGCCTGCAAATCGAAATCGACCACTAGTTCACCATCATCTCATCTCCTCCCAAATTAAGGTAACGTTCTAACCCATTAACTCTCTGCATTGAGTTCAATTCAGTACGAATGCCAATTCTTTAATCTTCTAAGTTAAGGGTTTGCAGAAATCGGTTGAAATTTTGTATGTGTAGTTACTGATGGTTATTTTGTGGTGGAAGATGCAGTGGGGATTATAACAATTAACAGGAGGTTGGTCCTGTTGTATCTTTCAGAGTTATGTTAATTGTGATTCGGATTTTTGGCAACTAAACAGCTTGTAGAAATCACTTTTGTAAAATACTAAAATTGAAAAATAAAAACTTGGACCAGTAGGAACCTGCCCGTTTCAAACGGATTGGGTTAGGTTCAGGTCTCTTTTGAGAATATCATGATCCGTCCAACCTTGCCTCGTTTCATTTTCAAACGGGTCATGTACCATTCCTCTAAATGTGGACCCGGCCCAGCCGTGCCCACCCCTAAGTGGACCCAGCCCGGCCCGTGTCAGCCCCTAATTTAGGCGGTGGGAGAGAGTAGGGTTTCAGATTAGAAGTGAAGTGATGGTTTTCTTTTGCACATTTAGTGAACGGTTAAGATTTAACTCATTAGAATATGCGGTTGAGATTTAATTAATCTCACTAAAAATGGGGCTAAATACATTTGACAATTTTGTGTCAAAAAAAAATGGTGAGACACGAAAAAAATATATTATTTCATTTATTTGTATTAGGAAGTGTAGAGTACTCATAAGTCTTACCTATTGGATTCAAATAAATAGATAAAAACTACAACTTTTACCAAGATGGATGTTTAGCGAGGTGGTAACTTGGCATTAAGTTGTTTTGTAGTATGTTTTTAATTTTTTTTTTTTTCTTTTTTCTATTAGAGCAAGTCCATCCCCATCACAATTGCCCGAGCAATTGGGCATTGAATATTCTAAAACCCAAAAATCCCTCTCCACCATAGCCCAATTAGTCGGGCCACACATAGGCCCAACAAAATCAGACCAAGCAATCAGGTAGGGATTGCCCATGTGAGCTCCTGAGTTTATTTGACGGCAGGTTGACGTCAGTACTTTATATATTTTTTTGCATCAAGCGCGTAAAAGAGAAAAAAATCTTTAAAATTATCTTTTTACTGTTGGGCTCACATGGCACAATATGGATTTCTGAATTGAAAGAAAAAAAAATAATAATAATGAAAATGACTTGAAAAATTTTTGTTTTAATAAAAAAAACCATGTTATAAGTTTTATTTAATGATTAGTATAATGCCCATATTAAAGTAGTCCAACTAAAAATGGCCCAACTATAATAAATTATGATTTGTCTATTTTACCACTAACTTTTTAGGTTGAGTTTCAGATTTTCGTTATTATTGGAGTTCATCGTTGTTTTGCAGACCTTATTCTTTTTCTTTAAAACAAAAATATAGATCCTCATGCTATTTAATTTATATTTTGTATTATTTTCCTTGAAATGTGATCGTCGTTATTATTCATAGTGTATTCGAGATACTGTTTTTCAATTTTTCTTCGTTAGTGGAATTCATCGTTTGTTTCTCCAGAAAATAAATTTGAGATCTGCCTGCTATTCAATAATAACGACTGGTCACTGTTTCTAGATTGTAAAAATAAATTGTTTATGGAATTTAAGTTACTGTTTCTCAATTAAGTTACTGTTTCTGGAATCTAAGTCACTGTTTCTTAAATGTAAGCTAGAAAAGAAATAGTGAAATTCACTGTATTGAATTCAAAGCAAAATGAGCATCATGTTTCTTAAATATAATCAACTGATGCATGAAAGAAAAGAAGTAATCAAAGGTTAAAGCATAGACCCTTTTTGAATCTAAGTCATTGCTTATAAAATTTAAGTCACTATTTATGGAATTTAATTCACTATTTTTTGGATTTTGATTCTTTTCTTTCCAAGTACAATGTTTGTTTGTGCACAAACAAAACAAACACTATATCTGATTTTTTTTTTTTTCAAGAAACAATGTTATGTTTTGTGTTCTCCAAAAACGGTTTGATTTTTTTCCAGACACTTTTTCGCCGGTTTCTACCATTAAACTTCTTTGAACTTGTTTTGGCGGCTCTATTTTCTAGCCAACCTTTTGGCCCTTTCAGATTCTGTGGGATCCACGAGCCCTCTGGCCTAGCCCTCAGTTGGAGAGGGTTTTCAAGCTATTTTCGGCCTTCTGGAGTCTGGACCCTTCAGTTGGAGATGGCCTTAGAGATCCTTAAATCGTGTCTGTTTATCATATATTGTGCGGTCAATTTTCGTCAAGTACTATTTATATTTACTTTTAAATAAAAATATTAAAATAATTTTTAATTACACGATATACGATGAAGGATACAATTTGAAAATCCTGGAAAGAGGATCCTCATTCACCTGACATTGGTTCCCACTTTTGCCCTTTTGGTCTTTGGAGGCAGATTGTTTGACCTCTTGTTTGGATATCTTTCTCATCCCCTCCTATTTCGTACGGTCACGGTTAAGCCACGTCAACATTTTATATTAATTTTTTTTATAAAAATAATAAGATAAAAAACAATAGGAATATAAAATGTTGACGTGGCTTAATCGTCATCCCACAAATAAAATGAGATGGGAAGAGCATCCAAACAGTCTGCCCTTCTTGGTCTTTTCCTTCAACTTCGTGGAACCATAGCATTAAATTATGCAGCACACTCCTTGCTGATTAACGAAAGGGAAATTGTGCTTAGCGCCTTGCCGCTTTCCCAATTTCCTCTCACTTTCCTTTTCCCATTTCATCTTCTTCTTTGCATTATTCTGCACCATTGACTTGTGGGTTTTGCAAAGACTCAGTCTTCGGTTCGTCGTGTTGGATTTTGCTTGTGTTTGGGAATCTTGAACTTTCTGGAGGGTGTGGGGATTTGTAGTGAGAGAGCAAAGCTACAAAGTTCATATTTTTTTTCTTTGCATTTAAGCTGAATTTCAGGTGAGAAAAATCCATCAAGTTTTATACTTTGTGCAGAAATCTCATCTGGGTTTTTACTTTTGCTTTACCTAGTGAAATATTTAGCTCTTGGGTTGCTTAGGATCTAGCCAAATTCCAAGTCTTTGTGGTTACTTTTGTAGTTCTTCAACTTACTCATAGATTGTATTCGATTCAATTTCGAGTATTTGGCTGCTTGGATCATAGTTAGGTGTTGGGAATTTCTGATTATCTGAACCCAAATGATGGGAGGAAAATCCAGTAAAAACCTTGAAACTACTACCAACTCCCAGGACAGCGCCGATTTGAGCTCCTATGAGGCGGCTTGTAAGCTCGATCCAGCCTTGCAATCGTTTGATGTCAATCTCCAGCAGCGCACAAGCCGTGTCATTCACTCGCTTTCAGCCGGGTTGGATTTTCGGTCCCTATCCCTTGACTCGCTCAAGGAGGTTACCGATTGCTTGCTTGACATGAACCAGGAAGTGGTCAAGGTGATTCTAGAATGCAAGAAGGATATATGGAAAAGTAAAGAAATGTTCTCTCTTGTGGAGGAATACTTTGAGAACAGTCTTCAAACGTTGGATTTTTGTACTTCCCTCGAGCAATGTCTTAAGCGTGCGCTCAATACCCAGCTGATAATTCAAGCTGCAGTTAGGCAGTTTGAGGAAGAAGTAGGTGCTGGGGCAGATGGGAACGGGTGTGCAAGAACCTTAAAAGAATTGAGGGCGTTTAAGGTGGCTGGGGATCCTTTCACGGACGAGTTCTTTATACTGTTTCAGGCAGTTTACAAGAACCAGGCATCCATGTTTGAGAAACTGCAACTTCGTAAGAGAAAACTTGATAAGAAGTTCAAATCAATGAAAGCTTGGAGGAGGCTGTCAAATGTTATTTTCGTTGCTACATTTGTCTCTGTATTGGTTTTCTCTGTAGTGGCAGCTGCCATTGCTGCACCACCACTTGTAACGGCCTTGGCAGGGGCATTCGCTGTCCCAATAGGTTCAGTTGGAAAATGGTGTAATATGCTTTGGAATAACTACGAGAGAGGACTGAAGGAGCAGAGGGAGATAATCAGCTCAATGCAGATTGGAACGTTCGTTACAATGAAGGACCTGGATAGCATCCGGGTGCTTGTTGACAAATTTGAAATTGGGATTGAGTCACTGTTGCACAATGCTGATTTTGCTATTAGAGAAGAGGGGTTGGCTGTGAAGCTAGTGATGGATGAGATCAAGAAAAAGCTTGATGTGTTTGTGGAAACCATTGATAATCTAAGCCAGCATGCTGATAAGTGTAGCCGGGATATAAGGAAGGCAAGGACAGTGATTTTGCAGAGAATAATTGGGCATCCCAACAAATGAAAGACCCTGTCGTTATGTGTTTCTGATCACTGTTCTCTTCCTGGCGGTCTACTAGTGAAATGTATGCACCCTGCTAAAGCTAATTCTTCACCTTGGGTCACATGAATTCGATTTGGCATTCCTTAAAGGCAAATGGTAGAGTCTATATTTTTATTTATTTATTTATATCTTTCGGGTTGAAGGATTACTTACCGACTATTTCATCTGTTTTCTTATTGCAAAACGTACTAGAACTTGATAGATTTTACTTAGCTGCTAAATGCTGAACATTTGGATTTGATGGCTACTAAGGGATCTCTTTTAAGACCGATTAATATAGTTTGTGCGTGCACGCACTGTGCCGCCCTCTCACAAGAGTGGTTTTCTTCACCATTGTGTAGTTGATGTTGATCCCACCACAAGCTTGTGCAAGGGAGGTGCCATGTGCGTGGCATGTGCAAGAAATTCTTTCGTCTCTGGAATGTCTGCAAGGATTAGAACTAATTGGAATTTGGAGCTCTCTTTCTTCACTTTGAATAGGTTATATGGATACGCAAAATGAGATGAGTTTAATAATAGTTATATATCTTGATTCTCTATCATATAGGTAGAGATAAAGATCGTTCATCTTCAGTCTGATATATATTGGACGGCCTAATGAATCCAACGGCTGAAGAGTTTTTGCATGATGAAGGGGCTAGGTATTGAAGTTACACTTGGTTTTATTAGTCAATAAGCTGAGAAAGCATGCATTGTTGATTGGCAGAAATGATTTTGCTTCGTTTGATTATATCGGTTTATCTGTGGAATTTTTGGGGACATATTAATCTCTAGTTTTCGACTGTTACACGATTAATTGATTTAAGAACTTCAAAAAAAGAACGGATTTCTTTAAGTGCCATCTTCGAAACATGTTGAGATGATATATGTTTAAGCGTCCGAAGGTAAAATATGAGCACGAGGCGAGTCACATATTTGCCGATGATTGCACGTAGTAGAAGTATTTTTCCTAGGCCTTGTACTCAATGGAGTGGATCATGAGATATTAGTAATTAGTCAAAAATTGTGGTTAACATTGTATACAGTTATATGTGGTCTAACGCATCTGTCTATCATGAAAACAATAGTTTTGTAGTTCATCTGTTTAGATCAATAGTGGTAGCAGTATTGTTAAAACGGATGGTTATGGAAACAGAGGCCTACTTGAAACGCAAAAGTTACTGAATATTGACCTTGTCAAGTGATTTCCGCGCGCTTATTTTCTGTCTCTACACCTTTCTATTTATTTTTGGTCTTTGAACTAAACGAATTAAAGCATATTCAAACGGCATGAATAGATCGGGGTGTGCGGAAGCGAAAATATGTGTGCAAAAATCCTTTTCATTATTATCTGTCACAACTTAAATTTACAAATTGCTAGAACTGGACTCGAACTTTTTACTTTCAAAGAACAAGAATTAACAAAGGAGTGCGGAAAAAGAAAAAATGTGTGGGGAACTCATTTGCGATTGTATATCGCTAACTGTTTCCGTAACCTCCCATGCGAAACACTAACGAACGACTCCTCCTATGCGCAGTTTCCGTAACCTCCATGGATTTCTGAAGCACCTTGCAGCTTTCACCGGCATCCGCCATCACCAATATCGAAAACTTCCATCAAATGCATCCATTTCCTCAACCGAATCTAACCCCACAAACCCAACAATCCAATTCCCAGAAATAACACAAAAAACCAGCACAAATCCACTCCAAAGCAACGGCCTTTGGACCCGAAGACTTACATGCGAGAAACAGACGCAAACATGTACAGAATCCTCAAATATTCGACATGGGATTCCGCTAAAGAACAACGGCAGAGCCTTCACATAAGATGGGATTCTTACACTGTGAGCCAGGTGCTCAAAACCCACTCTCCGTTGGAAAGGTCGTGGCTTTTTATTTATTTTTTTTTCAACCGGGTTGCTGGGTTTAAAGGGTTTAAGCACGACCAGTTCACCTACACGACAATGCTGGACATTTTCGGAGAAGCCGGGAGGGTTTCATCAATGTCCCCTGTTTTCAAGCAAATGCAGGAAAAGGGGGTCAAAATTGATGCGGTTACTTACACTCCTCTGATGCATTGGCTTTCGAATGCCGGCGACGTCGATGGGGCTGTGCAGACTTGGGAGGAGATGAAAGCTCAGTGATATCCTCCCACTGTTGTTTCTTGCACTGCTTATGTGAAGATTTTGTTTGGTGATAAAAGAGTGAAGGAGGCTACTGATGTTTACAGGGAAATGACTCAATGTGGATGTTCTCCAACTTGTCATACTTGCACTGTGTTAATGGACTACCTAATTGGTTCTGGTGAGTAGCATCGGCCTTCGCATATGTACTGCACTCTATGTGTTTGTTGTAATGTCTGAATGGGGTGATTGTTTGATAATTTTTTCTTGAAAGTTACCAGTTTGTGCATACGGTTATACTGGTTGTTTACGCACGGTGTGTGTTTGTTAAAGGAAGATGAGATTTTTCGTGCTATGATATGAAGTTGTTTCCACATTGTGATTGCTTGCATTACCCCACTTTTAATAGGATGATGTGAAATTACATTTGTTTTCGTAGTCGTATTTAGAAAAGATATCATATTTGTGTAACTTGCATATTAATAGTTTCATAAATGGACTCATCATGCTATGATTTCTATGCATATATGCACTTTTGGTGGGATGCACAGGGACTCATCTTTGCGATGTTCCTCTCCCTCCTCCCCAAAATATCGATAAAGTTATTGAATTTGTTATGTGTTTCAGGGAAATGCAAAGAGGCACTTGACATTTTCGGTAAAATGCCAGACGCTGGAGTACAACCTGATAAAGCGGCTTGCAATATTTAATTCAGAAATTGGGCAAAGCAGGAGACACATGAACAATGAACCATGTCCTTTGGTTTATGAAAGAAAATCGCCTTACCCTTCGTTACCCTGTATTTCTAGAGGCTGTTAGAACTTTCAAAATTGCTGGCGAGAGTGATTCCTTCCTCAGGCAAGTTCATCCTCACTTTTCTGTCGACTCTGGCAATCAGGAGGAAAGTGAGTTTAGGCCAACTGCTGCTGATGCTCTTGTGACAATTGATGAAGGGCTTGTATTGATTCTTTTGAAAAAAGAAAATCTCGTTGCCATAGACCACTTGCTTGCTGGAAATGGAGATAAGAATATTCAATTGGATTGTGCTATCATCCAACCATCATTGAGGTAAATTGTGAACATTGCAGACTTGATGGTGCTTTATTGGCTTTCGAATATGGTGTGAAAATGGGCATAATCCTTGAGAGAAATACATATCTGGCTTTGGTATGAGCTTTGATCAGATCAAAGTCATTTCTAAAAGTGGTGGAGATTGTTGCAGAGATGATTAGGGCTGGATGTTCTCTTGGAATATACTTAATTGCACTTCTGATACATAGGCTCGGGCGTGCTAGAAGGACACCTTGTGCTGCAATATTTGTTGCCTTATGATCACAAGTACACTGCAACTTACACTGCATTGATTGGGGCTTACTTCTCTGCTGGGAGTGCTGATAAAGGGCTTCAAAATTTTGAAGCGATGCGAGGGAAAGGATTTCGTCCCTTTTTGGGCACATACAATGTGCTGTTAACTGGTCTCCGAAAGTGCAGTAGAGTTCATGAAGCTGAAATGAATAGGAAGGAAAAGAAGAGTCTGCAGGCAGATGGTGAGTTTCAGAATGCTGTCCCGATCGACCAAAAGATTTGTGATTTTCTGTTTGCTGGGGATCTTGTGTCTTGATGACAATTGGGCAAACGAGATTCCCTAATTGGTCTCGCGATTGCAAAACAATGTGTCGCTGCTTGAGAGAATATGTCGTAGATACGGAAGCACTTCTCCTGTCAACGCAATGGCTGTGTATACGATTAAGGCAAGAGTTGATCGAATATCCAGACTCTGGAAGTTATGTGGTTGACACACTTTTAAGTTGTCTTGATGGACAATTAGACTTGTATGTCGGGGAAGGTTTAAGGCCATGTTAAACATACTTTTATCTATCTATTGACATGATTAATGATATGCACAGTGGAATTGCAACTTTTCTGATACTATTCTGGTCCAGTTTTGCCTTGAATTAACGGGACGATTAAGAAGTAAGTGGCTATTTACCATAGTGGTGTAAAAGGTGTTAAGCCTGATAGGATTTTTACCACCTGCAAAAGTAGGGATAAAAACACGAAAATACTTGGAAGAGTACAAGTAATTGTAGTATAGATGACTCTAGTAATTGTTCTCCTTCAGGATTGAATGAATAATTTATGTCAAATTAAATCTTAATTAATTATTTAAAATAAAGTTTGAGAAAAAGGTGATTTTGTGATTTAAAATAATAAAAACGAATTTAATAGAAAATAATTAAATAAAGTGACAAAACAAAGTAAACTAAAAGAAAACGGTTTTTGAAATAAATTGTAAAAGGTTAGGGTTCTGCCATCACCTTAATAATCATATGTAGTTCTTCCAATTACTTATGAATTACACAAGCATATTTGAAGTTTAGGTTTTCCTAATATATGCCTACTTGGACCCCCAACATAGAGTGTATATCAAATGTGCAATTCGTCTGTGGTATTCATATCAAAACTAAACATGCATGACTCATTAAGTTTTGTGAAACCTTTTGAAAAACCATGCAACCCTTAAAACGTGGTATTCATACTAAGTGAACTTGCACATATTAACTACAAAAAGCCTTCGTCAATTTCAAGGACCGACCTCTGACCAAAATTGCATCAGATTACTTTTCTAAACATCCTAATGGTGGCCAATCATCAAGACAATTAGACAGAATAAATTGGTGATTAATAATTCAAAACTTGCATGCATAATATCATAAGCAAATTGAAAAGAAACTGCATATTTTTTCTAAGGCTTGTGGCGTCGTCCTAGCAAACGAAAATTAGTTACAAACAATTATAAACAAAATATATTATAAAAATAAGGATAGAAAACACCTTGAAAATAAAAATTAGTGTGTTCTCCAAAGCTATGCGTTCTTCCCCTCTCTCTGTCTCCACCCTTTTACCTAATGGCTAAATATCTTTATTTATATTACTACAAAATAAAATCATAATGGCACATTTATGTAACCGTAATGAAAATTGGAGGAATTGAATTGAGGAGGAGTTGGAATGAGGAGAAATCAAAATCGGATTCCTTTTGAAGTTGTTTACTTAAATGTTCTGGAATCGGAATATAAATGACACTAATTCCATAAAGCTGTTTACTAATTTAGCAGAATCGGAATATAAACCAGTATGATTACTAAAATCCCCTTGTTCCAAATCAAATATTTTATGTACTTTTTTAATAAAATTTCATATAATATATAATAGTAAGAAAAAAAATTAGATTGCTTTTTTTATTTCATAGACACACTAAAATGCATTTTTTTAAAAAAAAATTAAGTATTTACTTTAATATTTAAATTTTCTCGCTCAAATTGTAGTTTCTTCTCTTCACATATGCATGGAGTTGTGCATAATGTGAATGAAGGCACAATAGGAAGGAAAAATGCATTCCTAATTCCTTCACCCTCCTGGATTTCAAATACCTGATCTATTCAGGGAATCCCACTCCAATTTCAGGAATTGCATTCCTTGTTTTGGGTGGGGTCCATTGCACTATTGATTCCCTAATATTTAGTAAATACCAACTGTAATCGAAATTCAATTCCATTTTTTTATTCCCATTGCCCTTATGTAAACGCGCTATAAAAGGTCTTAGAATAAAACTAGAAAACATAATAAAATACTAAAACAGAAAATAAAATATTTCCTATTTGAATTAAAATTCGGACTATAGAGAAAATCCATCTTTTGACCAACCAAATCAACTCCAATTTGGTCCTCTCTTTTAAAGCTTAAGTCATCCCCTACAAATCATTAGAATGAATCTTCTCAAAATATGCCATATTAAACTTCAAAATACCCAAAACGTCCAAAAACGTCAATCTGGGAAAGTTACGCGCTGGACCTTTATTTCATTTGCACGGTCAAACGGCTTGGTAGAAAAATTGGAATTTTGCTACAATCATCTTGAAAGACTCACGAATCTCCTTCAATTAGAATCACTCCAAAATTTGTCCATTTGATTACTTTATGCTCAAGTGAAGTCGAATATCCTACATT